CAAGAGGTCTCCCGCACTCACTTGACATTCAAGATGCTTAGCTAAACCTGAGGTGAGGCAAAGTTTCAACCTCCACTGAGGTCGCACTGTCAAGCTTGTTGTGTTCTCCAATAAATTTGTCTGTTATACACACCTTGAGTGCCTGAACCATTCAGTTTTTTTCTACCAGGATCGCCCAGTCTCTTAGTAATACATTTCCATTTAGTGGGTACCCAATACCCCCAGACCTATACTGACCCTCTCACAATAATAAGGGCCAGAGTATGCTCAATTCCCAAGCTGTTAGTTCCTAACTCTCCTACAATACCTATGTGGCCACCGAACACTACCTGACCTTTTGACCATTATTTAGCCACATTTCATATTTGGTTTCCAAACAATAAAATTATATGCCCTGCATCATTACCAATACAGAGTATCACAGTGATTGTGGTACAAGAGTTCTATAGGTGCAGTCCCATTAGATTTCCATACTTTTAATGAGTGTAACAAAATGTATTGATTATGGGCAATGATAAATGTTCTATTATTGTGTTCCCATTCATGTGCAATAACGTATGATACCCTTAGGGGGTGTAGTGAGCTATGTGACATTAAGAGCAAGAAGATGGCTGCTGCATATTTAATGAGACATGTGCTTTAGGGAGGAAGTGACCTATAGGTGGCCTAGTGAGCACTGTGACGTTGAGTGAATAAAGATGGCTGCTGCATAGTCAATCAGACATGTGCTTTAGAAAGGAAATTAGAATCTTTGAGTCACTTCCTTTCACAAATGACCACATGTAGTATCCGCCTCCTAGAGATGACCATTAGGTATTCGTTATGTTACATCTGTGGGTCGATACTAGATGGGAGGTTATTTAAGGTGCTACCAGGAAATGAGAGCAGTTTCATGACTGGGTCGGAAGAAGCCAGGTGTCTTTAGAGGTGCCCATGTAAAACATGTGGCATGGAACTCACCTCATTGTTCTGTGTGTTATGCAGATCCAATTATTGTGTTTAAGCTGCAGAATCTCCATGAACAGAGCTAAGTATATTGTACCTGATTGTATTGTTTATAGCAGTGTGTGTTTTTAAAGTATTTGTTTTTTGTGCTTGATAATTGTATTCCCAGTAAAGTTTTGTTTATACTTTCATCAAAACAATGTGGATAAGTGCAAGATAATGCATCTTGGACGTAAAAACCCAAGGGCAGAGTACAGAATATTTGATAGAATTCTAACCTCAACATATGAGGAAAGGGATTTAGGGGTGATTATTTCTGATGACTTAAAGGTAGGCAGACAATGTAATAGAGCAGCAGGAAATGCTAGCAGAATGCTTGGTTTGTATAGGGAGAGGTATTACCAGTAGAAAGAGGGAAGTGCTCATGCCATTATACAGAACACTGGTGAGACCTCACTTGGAGTATTGTACACAGTACTGGAGACCGTATCTTCAGAAGGATATTGATACCTTAGAGAGGGTTCAGAGAAGGGCTACTAAACTGGTTCATGGATTGCGGGATAAAACTTACCAGGAAAGGTTAAAGGATCTTAACATATATAGCTTGGAGGAAAGACGAGACAGGGGGGATATGATAGAAACATTTAAATATATAAAGGGAATCAACACAGTAAAGGAGGAGACTATATTTAAAAGAAGAAAAACTACCACAACAAGAGGACATAGTCTTAAATTAGAGGGACAAAGGTTTAAAAATAATATCAGGAAGTATTACTTTACTGAGAGGGTAGTGGATGCATGGAATAGCCTTCCAGCTGAAGTGGTAGAGGTTAACACAGTAAAGGAGTTTAAGCATGCGTGGGATAGGCATAAGGCTATGATAACTATAAGATAAGGCCAGGGACCAATGAAAGTATATAGAAAATTGGGCAGACTAGATGGGCCAAATGGTTCTTATCTGCCGTCACATTCTATGTTTCTATGTTTCTATGTTTCTAAAACTTTGCCTCTTGTCTGTTCATTCAAGATATTCACTAATATTTATGTGATTGACCAGTATACCTTTTATTATTGTATTTGTGGTATTATTTCATATTTATGAAATTCAGAACTTCATAAATATAGAGAAATTACTTAATTTACCATTACACATAATAACATAGGAATCCCAACATCCAAAGCCCCCTGCCTCACCTTGAGATGCTATGTGAAGAAATTTTACATTTTTGATTACGTATCCAAAATATTTACATCAGTACATAGGATTCAGCCATACCAATTTGCCACTAATACTTTTTGGCACAATCAAACATTCAAAGGCTACTGAAAAGTAACATATATGGGTCATATCTTTTCCGGTGAGTTTCTCTATTTTGTGCCATAAATTAAATTTAATCCAAGTTCTTAATTTATGCGATGATTGTTTGCCTATTAATATTAGGTTTTATTTGTTTATTGTTTTTATTGTATAACCTTTTTAATTTTTTTTTTTTATGTGACAATCTTTATATTCTTTTCAGGAAACTTCCCCCCTTAACGAAAAGGTGGAATGGAAAGACAAATTTAAGGAGCTGATGGGAAGGATCGAGGACACTGATATAGACCCTAATTTCACAGATTTTATTGTCCCAATATTTGTTTACAGGTAAGAAGGTCCGTCAAAGAGTCTCCTAACATTAGAGTAACTTTATTGTCACCAACAAATCCAGAGACATTTTAGTCAATGTTGCTGTAAACAATCTTCCCCAGCTTAGGATGCAAATATTTCTCTAAGTTGTTAAATATTCTCGTGTTTTATATTGTATCTGTTTTTCACTTCTCCTGTTTTCTTGTCCAGTTTGAGGACTCTCATACCAAAACAGGAAGTGTACACAATGAAAGCATTTTTGAAACATGCTGGGAAATAACAGGTGATTAATTTCCTGTATGTATATAAACAAAAATTAATTCACACAACTAATGCTCAACAATAGAAAATCGCTGTATTAGTATCCCAGGATAATTAGTACAAATACAAACAGTAATTGATGCACCAATGAAGCAACCAAAATATTACATTATCTGCAAATACAGCAATATCGTGAAGGAGGAGAGATAAACCCCCAATGTTTTAGTAACTAAAACTTATGTTCTCAAGGGATTGTTATCTCTATAGGCACCCAGACCACTTCATCTCAATGAAGTTGTCTGAGTTCCATTTACCCCCTGTGTTAACCCTGCCGCTGAAAACATTGCTATTCAAGGAATGGCATTGTTTTCACTGCAGGGTTGACCTAGCTCTGGCGACTTTCACACTGACAGTCACTAGAGGCGCTCCCGTGAAATAGTGGAGTAAAACTCTGCTAGTTCAAACAGATGATTTCAGAGAGAGACCAAAGAATTAGTGCAGCTTGGTGTTTTGCCTCCTGTGCACGCTAGCCTCCCAATGCTTTCCTACGGAAAAGCATATGATTGGCTGAGAACATCAATCTCGATGATCTCAGCCGAAGAAGTGGAGTAGTATACCAACAACCAGACCTGCGAGTGAGAGCAAAGATAATTAAAACCACATTTTAAACACTGGCAGCGGAGGTACAGTCACCTAAACAGTGACTAGGCGCTATATAGTTAGGAATACACATTTGTTTTCTAACGCTATAGTGCTCCTTTAATCAGTTAAATCACTCCTGGCAGTCACATGTATATATCATGTTCTTTTTTCTCCCTTAGGAATTTTTCCGATCATTGTCCTGACCAACAAAACTAAAAGAGATTACTCAATGGTCGAAAAACTATTTAAGAGTTTTGGAGCTGAGGAGGTGGTTGCTGTGGAGAATTACACAGCTAAAAAACATCTGCCAACACGTGGGAGGCACAGGGATATATTAAACATTCTATACAAAGCTCTACAGGATGTTACTTTTCAAATGGAAAGGGGAAGGAATCCAAAACATGAACGTGCAGAACGCAAGAAATTTCTGATGGACATCATTCATAACAGCATTGTTTACAAGAAAGGAGAGCAGGATGAACAAGAAATACCTGACAATCGCTGGTTCCCAAAACGAGTCTATGATTATTTTTCTAAGAAAAAAACATGAAGAATCATGACCAAAACCAGGAGTCCCAAGGCACACATGACCCAAATGTTCACATTAATGATAATTAACAATCCAGCAAGTGGAGCCCAGACTGTGGGTGCCTCGGAGACCAATGGTTTAGGTCACTTGACAAAGAACCAGGGAATGATGTTTGCAGCCTACTAGCACTATAACCACTACATTAGCATGTAATGGTTATAGTGTTGTGTTTGGACTGCCCCTTTAATGTGTCTAGTTTTTGCCAGCTGACTATATTTGATTTATGTGAGCAATCATCTGAAAATCATAACTAGTACTAGTGTCCACTGTGCTAGAACAGCTTTCTTGCATTATAGCTCCTAATCACTTGATATTCACTGTGAAATTTTATTTTATATGTCAAGTAAATAAAAGTGTGATTAATTATCAATAAGCATGTTTTAACTCTATTACATTACATTGATTTTTGTTATCTAAATAACACTGCTCATTACTGAAACATTATTGCAGTGCACGGTTATGGTATTAAAATCTATATAGGGAAAGGATCCTCATTTGTGAAAAAATAAAAAATGAAAGTAGACCCTCTTTGGATTCTATAGTTTTACATATGAGGAGGTAACAGCAATCATATGACCCTTAGCAGGTCTTACAATTCGGTAACACCCTTACTGCATCGAAAGTCTATTGGTCACATGTAAGACTTTCATTGCTGTTTGCACATTGAACCAAAGCACCAAGTTTACCACGGAATCCTGGTGAGTTTTTATACATATATATACTTGACACTGGGAAGCAAAAAATGATGATACAATACTACCTGCTGTTCCCTATTACATCCCCATCCTATGATCCCTATATCTCACTGACGTGGCAGGTATTGACCCAGAAAGCATTGGAATGTATGGCCAATAAATGCTAGAGGACAATGTCATAGATTAATATATATTATTGCCAAAAAGATGAATAGTTAGAATTACCTACAGCTTTTCTGTCTCCCTACATTTCAGTTTTTTCTGTTACTTATTTCTGGGCAATTTAGATTATGTCCCCTTATTCACTATGATCAGTTTTGTTGGGGCTCAGAGCCTGCATCTGCAAATAATGACAGCTGTTGTTGTTCCATCTACCACATTCAAGCCCAGCCTTATATTGCAGCTGCAACTCTACGTTTCAGGTTAATAGTCCCACTCCAATACTGAATTCCAGTTCAAATCTTTTATTTCTGTCATATAATCCTACTCAAGAGGTCCAGTTCATCCCTGCATCGCAGGCCAGATATTCAATGTCATCCCTGTATTTCAAGTCTTTATAATGTTTTACACAAACTATCATATTAGTAAATCTGCATTGTTAGTTAACTGTCACTTTTCAGAACAGATTGATATCAATGAATATCCTCCTAAAATAAACAATTGATGCTGTAAATTACCCCAGACGTATATAACATTTCTATACTGAGTAGCACTCCCTAAAGAAAGAAGAGAGCCCAGCATAGGATCAACCACATTGTGTGTTTGTTTGTGTTTTTCTTTGTTCGTTACGTTTGTAACTATGTATTTTTTTAAGATGTCTGTTTTTATAACTTATATGTTTTTAATAAATTTAATAAAAAAGATTCAAATAAAAAATAAAAATATTAGCATAACATTTATTTAAAGCAAGGGATGCATAGGTGGCATATAAACACATCATAGAGCAACATAGAAATTTTGTGAATAGATTGCTTTGCAGATAAATTTAAAACTTAAAGGAACATTATAGGGCCAAGAACACAAACATGTATTCCTGACCCTATCGTGTTAAACCTGCCATTTAGGTGACTTGCACCCCCCCTTAGCTCTCTTAAAAGGAATTCAAACTCACCTTATTTCCAGAGCTGCGCTGGCCATGCCCCCGCTGGCGCTGACCTTGCCCCGCCAGCACTGGCCCTGCTCCCACCCCGCCTCATTGATGACCACCAAAATTGCTGATTTTTAGCCAATCCAATACTTTCCCTATTGGCAAGAAAGCGGGATGGGGGCAGGACCAATCAGCACATCTTCATAGAGATGCATTGAATCAATGTATCTCTATGAGGAAAATTCAGCATCTCCATGCAGAGCGTGTGGACCCTGAATGGAAGTGATGCCTACTGGGCAGCAATGCCCCAGGAAGCACCTCTAGTGGCCATTTGAGCAGTGGCCACTTGGAGTTGTCCCTAGGGGGCAATGTAAACACTGCATTTTCTCTGAAAAGACAGTGTTTAAATGGAAATGCCTGCATATAATGATTATACTCACCAGACAACTACATTAAGCTATAGTGTCCCTTTAAAATTATGTACATTTACAGAATTTATATTTTTCCCTTTTTTGTTCATTCTTTTAAAAAAATATTTAAGAAATGAAAAGATTTAGACAGTATACAATGACCTTTACCATGGAAAATTTCACACAGGATCTGCAATGTTAGTTTAAAAGCAAAAAATAAATGTTTTTCTCACTTACAGTAGGTGTGACTAAAATATATAAATAAAAATGGTCAAATACTTTGTTTATACATATTTGCAAGGACCCTGAAGGCATTAATAGCAGTACAGCTTACTGGAATTGGCAACAGAATGTAAAAACAATGTCTGCATTTGAACACAATGTCCACATTCAGTAAATGCAGTTAAATCATATCTTTCTAAAATAAAGGTATTCAAAACTGCTATATCAATCTTTACCAATCTCTGGACTGCTAATGAACTGCTAACAGTAAAATACTGGAGTCTATTCACTCCTCCTCCCCTCCCTGAATGCTATTACCCAGTGAAACTTCCTGTACTGTTTGAAGCAGGGATGAGCTTACATTTTCAGCAACTTTACAGGAATTATATCAGTGACTAGTGGCTTCTAGCAAAGAAAAGTAATCCTCTACAGGCTGCTAATCATAACTAGAGTATAAATGAGGGCGAGTGAGGTTCTATGGACTAGATTTGTTACTGTAAAATACATGAATATAAAACGTTTATACATGAATTTGGTATTGAAGGGGTTACAAACAGCCTGCATTATTTTCCCAACACTTTTTTTTAAACTAGAGCTTGATAAAATGTTAAACACTTTTTCAAAAATTAATCTATAGATAATATTAAGTTTTTATCTCATGTTATACAGTGTCAAATTATATTATTATGTGGCTTTTTATAATATTTTGTACTATTTATGTACCAAAAAAGAGAAGAAAAATGTAGTCAGACTGAGATATCCAACCAATCCCAGTCTGCCTCCATTGCCTGGAAATAATATATAGCAATGTGGTATGGAGGAATCCTGGCTAAAAAATACCAGGTGAAGACAAAACAGGTGAGAAATATAAAGTCAGTATATCCTCAATACTAGTATTCCTATGCTCTCAAAAAAAGGGCGTGTGCCAAATCTACACTGGGCACTGAATGGCACTCTAGCACCATGAATTGCACTTAGCACATTTTCTTTGTTTTTGTCTCTCTTTCTTTGTATTCCTATGCCTGTCTAGTCAGTTTACCAGGGAGAGAGGCTTCATAAATTTAATTATACAAGGCAGTCTATTTTGGACTGACCATTTATCTTTTCAAATTTCCTCTGTCTATCTTTGATCTGAGTCTCTCTTCATGTGGAATAACTCTGGATTTTTAATTCCTGTATATATGTAAGGTCTACTGCTCTGCAAACCCCCTTTTTTTTCCCATACAGTTGGATTGAATATTAATTCAGCCTGGGATTTGTATATACTTGCAATAGACCTATATCTTATTGATTTCAAAAATATTTATACAGGGCTTTTTGTGGGACTTTGCACTTAAAAAGATATACACTGGCATTCAGATGGTTATATGAATACCCCCTCCTATTCAGCATATATTTTTTATTAAAGCAGGTACATAGGGTCCATACCAATCTATCTGGTATATTGCCAGGTTCTGTAATCGTCCTAGGTGCACTCCCCTTTTTTTGAGAGCATAGGAATACTAGTATTGAGGATATACTGACTTTATATTTCTCACCTGTTTTGTCTTCACCTGGTATTTTTTAGCCAGGATTCCTCCATACCACTTTGCTATATATTATTTCCAGGCAATGGAGGCAGACTGGGATTGGTTGGATATCTCAGTCTGACTACATTTTTCTTCTCTTTTTTGTGGCATTTTCTATTTGGGGTTAAGCCCCGTTGAGACCCCTGGAGTCTCCTTGCGGTATTTGAGACTCTACTGTATATGTGTGCCCTCCCTGTTTTCTAGGGTGTTGGTACACACAGATACATGTACTGTCTCAATTGTATATCTTGTTTCTTTACTATTTATGTACACCTGAAAATTCTAAATACATTTGATATATTAAAAAAAAATATATACTATATATATACTATTATAGGCAGCAATGGTATGAAAGAGCAATTCGTGTAATGACTCCGGCTCCTCCTTGATAAGTATCAAAGAATAAACAAAAAAGATGTCCAGCACTCCTTTTTGCAAAAAAGATGATACTCCTTTCATGGCAAAACAGCAACGTTTCTACTCTGTGTGTTTATTAAGCAATGACAAAGACACACTATTATAGCCAGCTCATGCACCTGCTACTGCATTCTGTCAGTTTTCACCAAGTGCTGCCAGAACACGTTAAACAGTGGCTTTGTATGTTATATTGTATACTAAATTCTTGGCACAGAGATTATACAGAGTTATGCTTTTGAGCTGAGCTCCCATTAAAGTAGAAAATTAAGCACTTTTGACCTGCATATTAGTTGTCCACATGTTCCCACAAGTAAGGCATACATAAATCTAAGTGAATGAAGACATATACTACAATAAAATATTAGAGATACCTTTAACATAGTTTAACATATGCAGCATTTTTAGGCAATCTAGATCTTAATCAATTAAGCCAGCAGAGATACTCAGACAGCATAAAAAATTACTAAAGGATTCTTCCTCTTGGGTTCTGCCAGAAAGTACATTATAGGCTGATTACTAGACTTGTGTATTCAGATTTGTCTGTTTATCCAAATACTGAATAAGCGAATTGCAATTGCAACTGTTGCAGATCAGAAATTCACAAACTCTTGTAGATCTGATTTAATGATGAATCAAATACTCGGATCTCATGTAAATAGTCCAAAATTTTATTCTCCTTATAAGCAGTTTGATATTGGAGATGCAGGCGACCATAGAAGCGAAT